AGAAAGAAAGAAAGAAAGAAAGAAAGAAAGAAAGAAAGAAAGAAAGAAAGAAAGGGAAGGAAGGAAGGAAAGAAAGAGAGGGGGGAGAGGAGAGAGAGAGAGAGAGACAGACAGACAGACAGACAGAAAGACAGACCTATTCAAGGAACAAGTGTCTTTGATTAAAGGTATCTCCTCACACCTAAAAGTAGTACAGAAAAGGACAGCAAATGCAAAGTAGAAAGGCATTCTCTAGGTGATCATGCTGTCACATGAAGAGCTTTCACACTCTCACAATGTAAGACAGGGTGAGCAAGTTTTAAACACTGTAGCACAGGCATGAGAATGTGGCACAAACAATACTCACAGCATTGGGACCGCCACACCCTCCAAGGATTAAGATAGTTGCATCATCTATGACAATCTGAGGAGGGGGAGAAATTTAAACACATAAAACACATAAAACAAAGGCATCTGACTTTCCACACTTTAGTGATACATTAAAAATAAAATATCCAGCTCCCAGAGGAGAGTATTCTAGTTATAATCTCTCCTGCTCCACAAGCCATGTCAATTCTGATCTTTTGAACAAATTACTGATGATTTGCCTGAATGGGTACATTCATACTCTTTTGAGTGGATACATTCTTTCTTATTTAATCAATAGTAACAGGAGAGTATCAACCAAAAAAAAAAAAAAAAAGGATTCTCTTAAGAAATGAAATAGTAAATACTTTGGGGGAGAGGCATAGTAAAAGCCATTATAAATACTATGACCCATCAGAAGGTTAAAAAAAAAAAGCAGCAAAAAAGAATGATAAATTATCTTTGCCTTAGTACAAACTGGCATCTTACCTGACTCCCTCCTCCCTCTCCCGTCCTAACTGAAAGATGCTACAGTGTTTGCTGAATAGTTATTTAATTCCCGAGCACCTGAGATTGGCCACCTCGGGGATGAGGACTGGGGCCGGAGATGTTCGGCTTGGACCATGCCCACTGCTCAAGGTCAAGAACCCAGACATCATTGCTCCTGTGAGATAAGGACAGAAAGATGAGGAAGCTGGAACTAAAGGACCACACTGGTGATGGGAGTTCTTATACCTGTGGCTAGCCAGTGAACTTGTACCATTTTCACATACACAGGCTGTCCAGGATGGAAGCAGCTTTGGATAAATTCTCCAGAGTTCAGATGCTTTAGAACCAGAAACACTAGCTGAATACCAACTCCACAGCTTCAACAAGAAATGTCATTTTCTTCAACTCTGAGTTCCTTATCTATCACTATCAAACAGAAATACTGCTACTCTATAGAGCTGGTTTAAGGCCTCCGAGCTGTATCTCACACACTAATACCGAAAGAATAAGTTAACTGGTGCTAGCCAGAAATGGTTATTGGTCACACTATCACCCTTCAAAAACAAAATCCACAAGGAAAAGGGGAAAAAAATTCAAAAGGCAGCTTAAGTACTGGCCAGGGAGTTAAAAGCTTTTTTGATTCTAACTACCAAAAGTAATTGCAGACAGCTAACAAGAGCTGCAGTTTTATCAAGGACCAGGTGCATCTCCAGTTCTCAAGACAGCAGCATGGTAACCCAGAGTCCCAGAAGGCAGTCTCTACCAGTCACCTCTTTAAGGTCTACTGTTCACACACTGGACATAGGCATGAGAGCGCCCAAAGTTAAATTCTAGTCCTCTCATCTGGAAGGCAGTGCCTCTCATCTTTCCATACTTCTGAAAATGTGATGTGGAGAGTTTGGTGTCGAAGAGAACTGGCTTAGGTCTGCAACGATTGTACTACTGACAGCTAATCACCTCCAGAGCAAGGGACAAACAAGAACTCCTGTGGCTGCTGCTGCTGAACCAGATAGCCAGGGCTGACTCTGGCGAGTTATGGCTAAAGATGGAGAACCTTACGATTCTCTGGCTTTTACCCATTCTCCCACAACCTATCCCATTTGGAGAGTCTACAATTTCCACCTGTCCTGTCAATGATGCACCTCACTTCTTGGAAGGCAGACTTCTTCAGGCACAGTACAGCAATCAAAATGAAGGCTCCATTCCAACTAGGTCCTACCACACATCCAACAGGAAGCGACTCTACATAACTTGGTCTGTGACTAGAGCACCAAAGAATTGAAAGGTAAGGTAAAATAACTCATTGGGTTAATTAGAATCATGCTCAAAAATACCAGTCCTGACTAGTTCACACTTCTGACCTTTATGCCCGAGTATTTACTTACATTTGCCTGGATCCTAAAGAGCCACCAAAGACAATCATTTTATCATCTATCACACAGGAGGAGTGACCAGCCATAGGAGGTGGCCCATGTGTTGTTACAATGCAATTCCACCTAGTATAAACAGACAAGAGGAAGCCCAGAAGTCAGTATCATCTGCCTCTGACTTTACAATATTAAGGCAAAAAGTGGTTAAGGCATTCATTAAAAATGACAACCTAAGCCAGGTGCTAGGTGGGCTCTTGCCTGTAATTCTAGCTACTCAGGAGGCTGAAATCTGAGGATCACGGTTCAAAGCCAGCATGGGCAGGAAAGTCGATGAAACTCTTATCTCAAATTAGCCACCAAAAACCAGAAGTGGCGCTGTGGCTCAAGTGGTAGAGTGCTAGCCTTGAGCTGAAGAGCTGAGGGACAGTGCCCAGGCCCAGAGTTCAAGCGCCAAAACCAACAACAACAACAACAACAACAAAAAGACAACCCAAGACATGGCTGAAAAATAACTGATTCTGTCTTGCAGATGTGGCAAGTAAAGAAAGCAACCGGATCTACACTAATCAGAGGGAGTAAGCTTCTACAACTTCCACACTGTCATTAATTAACTTCTTGTTTTTGTTGTAGGGTGTGTGCATTTGTGTAAGCATAAATGTGCGTGCCAGTGCTAGGGCTTGAACTCAGGGCCTCAAGCTCTCACTTTTTTACTCATATTTCACTTTTCCACTCATCGCTAGTATTCTATTGCTTGAGCCACTCCTCCACTTATGGCTTTTTACTGGTTAATTGGAGATAGAGTCTCACAGATTTGTCTGCCTAGGATGTCTCTGAACTGACTGAGATCTTCAGATCTCAGACTTTTGAGTAGCCAGAATTACAGGCAAGAACCACTAATGGTTGGCTCATTTTCTCTTGGAAGAAGAATAAATCTCTTTTCTCTATAAAAAAGTGTTTGTAGGGCTGGGAAGGTGGCTCAGTGGTAGAATGCTTGCCTCACATGCATGAGGCCCTGGGTTTGACTTCTCAGCACCACATAAGCAGAAAAAGCCGTAAGTGGCTCTGTGGTTCAAGTGGTAGATAGCCTTGAGCTGAAGAGCTGAGGGACAGCATCCAGACCCGGAGTTCAGGCCCCATGACAAAAAAAAAAAAAAGAAAAAAAGAGTTTGTAGGGCTGGGAAAGTGACTTAGAGGTAGAGTGCTTGCCTGCCTAGCATGCATGAAGCCCTGGGTTCGAGTCCTCAGTACCACATAAACAGAAAAAGCCAGAAGTGGCACTGTGGCTCAAGTGGTACAGTGCTAGCCTTGAGCAAAAGAAGTTCAGGGACAGTACTCAGGCCCTAGGTTCAAGCTCTGGAACTGGCAAAAAAAACATTTTTAACTTAGGGTCTCTGTGTAAATATTTTAAAACTGTAAGCAATTATCTCTGTATAACTTCCCCACAACAAAAAAAAGTCCACAGCTATCATCAAATTCTAAAAGGGATTCTGGAGACTAAAAAGATAAAAGACATTGATTTAAAACCTTAAACACAGTGTGATGACATATACCTGCTTCCCTTGGGAGGCTGAGGTAGGAAGATTGTGAGTGCAAGGCTAGCTTGGACTATAGATGGAGATCCTGCCTTAAAAAAGAAAAAAAGAGGGGCTGGAGGTTTAGCCCAGCGGAAGGGCGCCCGCCTGGCGTGCGCAAGGCCCTGGGTTTGGTCCTCAGCCCTGGGGAAAAAAAAAAAAGCTACAAAAAAGAAAAAAGAGTCAGGCAGTGGTGGCTCATGCGTACAATCCCAGCTACTCAGGAGGCTGAGATCTGAGGAGTACAGTTCAAAGGCTGCTGGGGCAGGAAAGTCTGTGAGACTCTTATCTCCAATTAACCACCAGAAAACAGAGAAAACCGAAGTGAATCTGTGGCTCAACATAGTATAGTGCTAGCCCTGACTGAGCACTAAAATTCAGGAATAGCCCTGAGTTCGAGCCCTAGGACTGGCAACAGAAAAAAAGAAACAAGTAAAAAAAATCTCCCCACAACCCAGATTTAAAGGAGCGTATCATTGCAACTTACCAGTTTTTAGATGGAGAATAAGTGTGTATTTCATCAAAAAATCTCTCTGGTTGATGTAGGGGATAAGGGCTTGGCCTCGTCCAGCCTCCAAAGAGCACTAGCAAGTCCTTGTACACCACGAGGGTTGCTCCAGCTTTGGGAGAAGGATAGGACCCTGCAAGAAATTAACGATAATTGGATTAGGATTCAAGACTTCATAACAATACAAGGCTATCTACTATTCATCTTCCACTTGAAGAAAGATAAAATAGGATACAATCTACAAAACACAGGGGATAGGCAGAGACAAAGCAGCATTTGCAGGTCTGAGAGGAAATCATCACTGATTTATATATGTTTATAATGAACACAAAGAAACCTGAGTTAAAATTGCTTAGCTTCTCTCAGCTTTAATTTGCTCACCTGAAGTCAGAGATGAAGGTTCCTATCCCATAAAGCTGTATGGATTATTAAATATAACAGTTTCCAACATACCTTGGTTGGTTCTTTTTTTTTTTTGTTGGTCATGTGGCTTGAACTCTGGGCCTGGGCACTGTCCCTCAGCTCTTCAGCTCAAGGCGAGTGCTCTACCACTTGAGCTACAGCGCCACTTCCGGTTTTCTGGTGGTTTACTGGAGATGGAGTCTCACGGCCTCTCCTGCCCGGACTGGCTTTGACCGAGATCCTCAGATCTCAGCCTCCTGAGTAGCTAGGATTACAGGCGTGAGCCACCAGCGCCCGGCTTTTGGTTGGTTCTTGATATGGTTTAACTGAGGTGTCCTTCAAAGGTTCATATGCTGGGGGCTTGGGTGGAAAGTAGCTGGATCATGAGGGCCCTGACTTAATGCATTAATCCACTAATGGGGAAGGGATGGAAACTTCAGAGATGGGGACTGATGGGAGGAAGTAGGTCACAGGGGGTATGTCCTGGGGACTATTTCTGGTTCTTGTTCTCTGCTTCCTGACTGGCAAGAGACAAGTACCTTTTGCCATACACTCCCACAGTCACAATGGCCCAAGACTTCTCAGGCCTAAAGTGACTGGACCAAGGGATATTAGACTGAAACTAAGAGCCAAAGCAAACCTTTCTTTCTATTGTTTTCTTTCTTTCTTTTTTTTTTTTGGTCGGCCGTGGGGCTTGAACTCTGGGCCTGGGCGCTGTCCCTCAGCTCTTCAGCTCAAGGAGATCGTTCTACCACTTGAGATACAGCACCACTTCCAGTTTTCTGGTGATTTATTGGAGATAGGAGTCTCATAGTCTCTCCTGCCCGGGCTGGCTTTGAACCGCGATCCTCAGGTCACAGCCTCCTGAGTAGCTAGGATTACAGGCATGAGCCACCAGCGCCCGGCCCTAATGTTTTCTTTCATGCATTTGTAACAACAACAAAAGGACAGAAAACTTTTGTCTCCTCCTGGGAAATTCCCTAATTAAGATGTTACTGTCATTCTGAAATACCTTAATTTTGGAAATAATAAACAAAGCTTCAAGTCCCTACTCCCTACTTGGACTCACAAATGCTATGATAGAAAAAAAAAAAATAACAGATTTCAGAACAGTGACTTAAACCTTCCACACTAAAGTGTGGATTTAGATAGATCTGTGATGCTGGTAATCAGGCATGTAAAGGAAGCAGCAGACCAAGGATCTCCCAAAGCTACCAATCATGAAAACAAACCAAATGAACATTTGTAATGTGTGCTGGACAATCAGCATACTTTAAAAAAATTTTTATTTATGTGGTTCTGAGAAATTGAACTCAGGGACTCGTGCATGTACTCTACTACTAAACCACATTCCCAGCCAATCAGCATAAAAATTTTAAATAGTATTTTAAAATCATTTTCAGTGATTGCCTTTCTAGAGGTTAATGTAACTGGACAAATGAAAATGAAAGATACCCCAATTATTAAAAATCACAATTATGTGCCTTGCTGGACACTGGTGGCTCATGTGTGGAATCCTAGCTATTCAGGAGGCTGAGTTCTGAGGATCATTCTTATTTCCAATTAACTAGCAATGATCTATCTAAAAGTAGAATCATGGCTCAAGTGGTAGAGTACCAGCCTTGAAAAAACAAACAAAAAACAACAAAGAGCTTAAGGTCCTGAGTTCAAGTTCCAGTACTGGAGCACACACACAAAAATTATGTAGGCCAGGGCTGGGAAGGTGGCTCAGTGGTAGAGCGCTTGCCTTGCATGCATGAGGCCCTGGGTTCGATTCCTCAGCACTACATAAGCTAAAAGAAAAAAGCCGGAAGTGGTGTTGTGGCTCAAGTGGTAGAGCACTAGCCTTGAGCTGAAGAGCTGAGGGACAGAGCCCAGGCACAGAGTTCAGGCCCCACGACTGGATCCAAAAAAAAAAAAAAATTATGTAGACCAGACACTGGTGGCTCATGCCTGTAATCCTAGCTTTTCAGAGGCTGAGATCTGAGGATCATGGTTCAAAGCCAGCCCAGGCAGAATAGTGTGTCAGATTCTTATCTCTAATTAACCACCAGAAAACTGGAAGTTGTGGTTCCAAGTAGCAGAGTGCTAGTCTTGAGCAAAAGAGCTCAGAGACAGAGCCCAGTCCCTGAGTTCAAGCCCCATGACCAAGGCCTCCTTCAACCCGCCCATCTCCAAATACATAAGTATATATTCTTCTATTCATGTCCATGGTCATGAAATGCAAACAGAAAGTAGCAAGTGACAAAATATGAAATAACAATAGCAGGGAGAGTGGTTTAAGTGCTAGAACCCCAAAGTTCAAACTCTAGTCCCTACCCCACAAAATAACAGCTATATCGATGGGCACTAGGCCCTTGGTATTGTTCGAAGTGCTTCACATGTAATTAAGTCACTTAGTTTTGGCAAAAACTCTACCATCCCTATTGTATGGGTAAAGAAACACAGACCACAAAGTGGCTAATTTTCCCTGTTACATATCTAGTAAGTTCCTGAGAATTCAAATCTAGGTAAAATGAACTCTAAGCCACTGGTGCCTGGCCATTTTCTTTCTTTTTTCTTTGTCGGTCGTGGGGCCTGAACTCTGGGCCTGGGCGCTGTCCCTCAGCTCTTCAGCTCAAGGCTAGTGCTCTACCACTTGAGCCACAGCCCCACTTCTGGCTTTTTTCTGCTATGTGGTACTGAGAATCAGACCCAGAGCCTCATGCATGCAAGACAAGCACTCTACCACTGAGCCACTTTCCCAGCCTGTGGCCATTTTCTTTTTTTCTTTTTACGTCCGGTTGTGGGGCCTGAGCTCCAAAAGTGGAGCTGTGACTCAAGTGGAAGATCATTAGCCTTGAGCACAAAAAGCTCAGGGACAGCACCCAGGCCCCTGAGTTCAAGCCCCAAGACCAATGAAACAACAACAACATAAAAAACTCCCGAGTTACAATTTAAAGTGCTTTGATTTTACAGGTAAATACTTTTGTAACAGGAAGAAATAAAGTCATGTTTGAGGAGAGATGAAACAAAAGGAAACGTAAGTAAACTCCAAAATTCATAAGCATAGTCTGTCTTTATTACAAACACCTTGAAGATCATTCAGAAAACAATCTCCAAAATAGACAGTCCTCCAAAATAGACGGTCCAAGGACCACAGGGGTTTTATGGGGGACAGGTATCCATTTTTCTTTAGGCAGTAAGAATATTTCCAATTTAATATCAATGTGGTAGATAATAGCTATAATAAACATTTATATATTTACATACAAAGATATAATGCTTTAGAAAAAAAAAAGTAGAGATGGGCACTGGTGGCCCACACCTGTAATCCTAGCTACTGAGGAGGCTGGGATTTGAGGATCATGGTTTAAGGCCAGTCTGGGCAAGAAAGTCTGTGAAGTCTGTGAGACTCTTGTCTCCAATTTACCACCAGAAAACTGGAAGTGGTGCTGTGGCTCAAAGTGGTAGAGAATGCAAGTCTTGAGCAAAAAGAGCTCAAGGACAGTGCCCAGGCCTCTAGTTCAAGACTCATGACTAATTAAAAAGAAAAAAAAAAGCATCTCAGGGAGGAGTAATGGCTCACGCCTATAATCCTAGCTACTCAGGAGACTGAGATCTGAGGATGGCAGTTCAAAGTCAGCCTGATTCTAGCTAATCAGAACAGGCCCTGGATGCTCCATGATAAATCCAAACATTTTTTAGGGTATTTCCTTCTCCCCAGTCCATTTTTCTAGGGGAAGTGAAAGGGTTCCTTTTTTCTATTTTATTCCTCTTGCAACAAGACTAGACAAGTTATTGATTGACAACCCACTGATGTTATTATACACAGCTTGTCTGGGACATGTGGCTTCCAGGGGACACATTTTATAATTACAACTACACTCATACCTGTAAAGCCATCTTCCCAGTCATTTACAGACTAGTCATACAACAGAACTCTTGTAATGGCCACAGGCATGAACAAAAAAGAAACTCTCTGTTGGCATTGTTCAGTGCCAGTAAACAATCGACACAAAAGGTCACTTGATGAAAAGAGCAGCACTATCAGCTAAAAATTAACAGCATGAACACCAATAACAGTTCCTTGGTAGCATTTGAAGTAGTCTTTGATTCCATTTCTAGGAAGGAGAGAAGTTCCAGAATTTTCTGTTTAATCTGATAACTTGTTAATTGCAGTTCTAATGGGTGAGGGTGCCTTTCAAGTGACTCTATTTGGAAGTGAAAACAATGCTGTTAGTCATAAAGTTTCTGGCCTGGTGTTGAAACAGGAAAGTCCTAGTGAGCCAGGGGAGAGAGCCAAACTGAAATATGGCAGAATTGTGTTTATGTTCTCCCCTGGAAGGCCAAAGGTTCCTCCAGATCTGTGCAATGCAAGACTTCCCACTCTTCTCTCCAACAGGATAAAGAATGGTGTACAATTCCTTGACTGGGAAGGAGAGAAACTAGATTTTTCTAGAAAAGTCATGTATTCTAGAAAACCCAGGATCTGAACTTTATAAATAACACGAAGGATTTCTGCTTTTCCTAGGGGAATGTACTGGCTCTGTTCTCCTTCATATCCACAAACTACCACAGGTCCAGGACTACAGAGGGAAAAGGAAACAAGAAAAAAACACTATCTCGTAAAGGTTAACCAGGAATAAGACCATGGGTCAAGGATAACAAATACAACAAAGAAGTTAACAAAGCACTGATAGATACAACCACATGGATGAATTTCAAATACATTTGGTAAGAAAGAAGTTG